GTCCAGCCTCAGGTAGAGAGCTGAGGGGCAGCTTTCTCCCGGACACAAGTGCTGGCAGAGGCCATTGTTCCTTTTCTGAGCCCTCCCCCAACAGCTGGCAGGTGGGGGCCACATCTGAGACTCCATCAACCTGGCTCACACTGTTTGCTCCGCCCTGGGGATTCCCCGAGGCTTTGCTCCACCCAGGGTTCAGGTCCACCTGAGCGGTTCCCATTGGCTTTTCCGAACAAATGGCTTATCTCGGCTCGAGCTTCAGATTTTCCTAAATCTGTCAGACAAAGAGCATCTGTCCTCAGTGAGCCCTGGACATCTTGCTAAGTGGCTCCAGGCCCAGGATTAGCAGCAGCAGCTGGCCTTGGTTCACAGCTTGGCCTCGCTCGGGCCCTTCCAAGCCCAGCACAATAGCAGCCATCTGCAGATTGCTTTGTAGCTTATGCTGGGAGTCCTCAGACACAACATGGGGTGGCTGACCTTGGCTTGCACCTCCTGGGAGGTCCCAGAGGCTGCACACCCACGGACAGCTACAGCCCAGGTTGGAGCACCGCACCCAACCACCTCCACCAGCCACACCCTGCCTGCACCTAAACCACAGCGACCCTGTGAGGGGGAGGGGCTGTGTTAGATAATTCCAATTTACAAGTGAAAAATCTGAGGCTCAATAAGAGGCTTGAATTCAACATACAGTAGCTGCAATTTGTTGAGGACCTGCCACAGGTAAGTAAAAAGATTTCGTTGAGTTCTTGCAAAAAGTGGCGGTATATACAATTGTTATCCCCATTTTAAAGATGGGGACACCAAAGCTTAGAGACAGGCAGGGCCAAGGCCTAAGATCCGGGAGAGGCGGAGCCTGGAGGCCTGGCTCCTCCCAGGGACTCTGAGCTCCCTTCTGCCCCGAGCCCCACCCCACACCCAGCGCAGTGCTCACCAGGGACCTCAGGCTGCAGCGAAAATTGCATCAAGTCAGCCCGCAGCCTCTGGTCCCCGTTTCCTTGGAAGGAAGCAGAGAGGCAGAGACGAAGACAAGGACGGATCGAGAGAGAAGAACCGAGAGGGAGGCAGCAGGCATCAGAGAGGGGGTGGCCGTGCGGCAGCTTCAGTTATGAGCGTTGAGCCTAGGTTCTCAGGAAGAAATCGTTTCTGAGAGAAGGGCAGACTCAGATAAACACCCTGCTGTGCCAGACTGAGCCTGAGCCACAGGGAAGGCCTGGACGTTGCCATGGAAACCAACCCTTTCCCCAGCAACTGTTCAGGAACACTGTTTTTTAAACAGGAGATGGTGTTGTGTGCTTCCTGGAAAAAATTACTGGGGATTTCTTCCCTGTCGCTTCCCCATGACTCCCCGGTTGGACCAGAGCACGTCACAAGCGTGCGGGGGGGGGGGGGGGAGGGGCGGGGGGGGGGGGCTGATCAACCGCAGTTCTTCCAACGAGGGGTCTTACAAATTTCCAGAAAAACGTCAGTCTCCCTAAATGTTTTCTGACCGGATCACTGCTGGGATCACCCCAGGCGCTGCCTCGGCCTCTCCCCAGCTGTGCGGTGGTCCCTGTCCCTCCCTCCCGGCCCAGCCGGGCCTGGGCCCCAGGGAGTGCCAGCTGTCCCCGTGGGCTGGTGGGCTCTGTGCTGCCTGGATTCCTCCCGCCCGGCTCTGAGGCCAGTCCCTGCACGGACCCCTGGCTGATACGCCCCTCCTCCTCAGAGATTCCGCCCCACCAGGCTCCCTGCACCCCCGGGGTCATGTTCCCAGGGTCGGCCAGCAGATGAAAAACATGTGCAGAAGTCACAAACGGAGCTTGTTCTGCGAGCCAAGGTGCTGCTTTTGATGCTCATTTCCTGGCTGCCTGACCCTGTCTCCGCCAGCCCACGGTGCGCTGCGAAACCCCATCCTCCAAAACCCAGAGCGGCTCCCCTCCGACCAAAGCTCCTCGGGTTCAACTCTGCTAGAACTAACCTCCCCGCCCTTGGGTGCCCGTGGGAGCAGCTAGGCGCCCTCCTTCATTCTGACTTTGCCGGAAACAGCACCCAGGGGCCCTCCTCAAGACGGCCCCTCTCTGGTCCCGCACGCTCCTCCTTCTTTCCGGCCACACATCTGCAATGTGCTTTTTGAGGCAATGGGGTAGCAAATCCATTTGTGACAGAGTGTTGGAACATGTGTTCAGTAAGCCTTTAGCTGACTTTGTGTAACTGAAAAAAATACTGTGTGTTTACGAACTGGCCATACAGATCAACCTGCTCTGCCAGCCCAGACCCCTGGCCTGGCCTTTCCCGCTCCCCTGATGGAGGCGGAGCCCAGGGCTGGTGGGTGTGGGGAGGCTGGCCTGAGGCCCACGCTCCTCCGCAGCCTTGACAGCCCCAAAGGGCAGGAGCAGGCCTTTCCTCCTTCTCCCCACCAGTCATGCGAGTTCGCTCACAGCCCTGGTGCAGCCATGAGCCTGGAGTCTCAGCCTCCGTCTCTGCCCCGGCCCCTCCCTCAGCGGCTGCCATCTGAGTTGGAGAGGAGGTGTGAACACCAACTATCAGCCACCAAGCAGCCTGCAGAGATGAGCAGTCGGTGCTGAACAGCACCGCGGTGGAGACGCTGGCACCGAAACCCATGGCTTGGAATCACAGCTTGCGGCTTCCTAACCGTGTGGGCAGGGGCCAGCCGCTGCTCTGCCTGGGGGGCTCCCTTCCTTCACCTCCAGATGGGGGTGATGAAGAGGATACAGCAGCAATGACAGTGATAATGGGGGTACCCACCTTATGGAAGGCGTTTGAACTGAGACGCAAAGCACTGAATGAGCGGCACGTGGCTAGAGGCACCAGCGTTCTGCTCTCCTTAACGTGAGCCGCGGACACTGAGTCAGGGCTGAGGACCAGCCGGATCACCTTCCTGGTGGCAGTGACCCCCGGAGAAACAACCCGAAGGCCGGGTCCAGGGGCAAAGCGGCCGCACACACAGGGTGGGAATCCCAGCTCACGGGCTATAGCCCTGGGGCACCTCTTCATCCCTTGGGAGCCTCAGTTTCCCCATCTGTCAAGTGGGGGTCAAGAGCCGCTACCTTCCAGGGTGATAAGATTTAAATGAGCTAATCATGCAAAGGGCCCCACCCCTTGCCCATCACCTTCCTCCTCAAGCTATCGGCTCCCAGATTCTTCTCTTCTGGGTCTGTCTGCTCGTTTGACTCCACCTCCAGACTTCGGGGCTGTGAACAGACGTCATTCGTGGCTGAGTGCCCTTACCCCGCACAACCCGGCCCTCAGCAGGTGCTTAGCAGGTGCTCACAGGGCGGAGGATGCTGGGCTGCAAGACAAGCGGCCAGGTGCATCTCTTGGTCCTCGCTTCTGACCTTGACCTCATTCAAGCCCCAGGCACCTCGTGGTTGGGGGGGAGAGTGCCCCACTGCCAAACTCCAGCCCCAGCCTAACAGGACACTCTGTCCCCAGAGTTCACCCCAGCCCCAGGGACCCTGGAACCCCAGCCTCCTCCCTGCCCGGCCCACTGAACAGAAGAAGTCTCCAAGCAAGGTCATGGTGCTCAACACATGGATCTTTATTTGTTTTCCATCAGAAAAGTTCAAGGATTACACCGAAAAATACTTCAGCCTCTGCTACCTACTGACAAAAATACACCACAAAATTATAAAGCGCTCAGCATTTGGCGAGGGACAATTTGTTATTCGGCTTTAGATGACAAATGAATCTACAGGTGATTTGAGGTGACGGGACTGAGCGGCAGGGGACAGGGAGGACAAGTCGGGTGGTGGCATTTGGCGGGACCGCTGGCGCCACACTAGTCTTGCGACCCAGCTGCTGGGGGCGGGGACCCCAGCAGCACAGCAAGCCGCAAAGATGCCCTTTCGACGGCCTGTAGGAGCTTCAGAGGAAGACGGTGTCACCTCTCAAATCACCAACTCTCCTGCCGGGGCTGGGCTTGTTGTCCTGGAGCTGACACCTACCCCCCCACCAGAATGGGCCCCCCCAAAATGTTAGCAGGAGAGCATAGTGAGTGCACTGAGGAGGCCTGGCCACGCCCGAGGCTGCCACCCTGTCAAGAACTTCTAGAAACAGACTGGGGAGACTGGAGAGACGCCCCCCGCCCCCATCAACGCCACGCAGCAGGCTAAAGACAGGCATGTTTCTCCACTTCCCTTAGAAACGATCTTCCCTGTGGCAGCTCCCATCATAAGGTCCCCCGGCTGTCACCTGGTTATGACCTCGATTGTTTGGGAAGCAAACAACCGAACCGACATTTAAAAATCAGGTACCCGTGCTTACGCCGTGGACGAATGTCACACACCTGTCCCCTCCTGCCTTCTTCCTTCTGTTTCTTCCCCCTTCTCTCCCCTCCCACCCCCACCGTCTCATAAACATGGGCAGTGTCCAGGTGTAGACCTAGGAACATGAGAACAAGGCTGTGCCTGCCCACTCCTTGGTGCCCACTGACACCACACTCGTGCCCAGCGGGCGAGCTCGGAAGCCCTTTTGTACAAATTTGTGCTCATCTCACCAGCGCCCCGCTGCTGGGGGCCATGCACCCTGACTTGCGTGCTTCCCGGGCTTTAACGTCCACACCAGTCCTTCTCTCCCACTCTGCCTTCCCAGTCCCTGTCCTGCAGACCAGCGGCCACCCGGACGCCCCGTCTGCGTCAGCACAGGTTCCGTGCCTTCGGGAGCCCACACGGAAGCTACGCTTTCTCCTCTAAGCAGCCTGGGGGAGGGGGGGTCTTTCCTGCCCTTTGGCGTCATCCACAAGCAGCCAGTTTAATCCTTTTTGTTGTTGTTCATGTTCTCCGCTCCTTTCCTGTTTGTTTTTTTTTAATTTTTTCCTAACAAATAATAAGCAGGGGCTTTGAAAATATCTTACATGGAAACAGTCAACACAAAACATGCCTTTGTACATGAGCCTGACTTGGGGACGAATCAACAATACCAAAGACGAAAAGAAACACCTATCCGGACAACTCCGTAGCCCAGGTTGAGTCCCCCGACCCGCCCCAGCCCCCCCCAACCCCCATCCCAGGAGTACAGCGCGGTCTTGTAACTGGAGCCTGGCTTAGCCAACGGGGGTTCCCCCCTCCACCCCCATTCTGGCTGCGGTGGGCCTCTAATGGCCCTGGGTCTTGGGTGGTTTGGGCTCATGGATGACGGCGGCCGCCGACAGCCACGGCCCTATAGCCCGGGCAGTGCTCTGCTTGGCCACGCTGTAGTGGCTGATGACCGTGTAGAAGCGGCTTCTGGAGCTGGGGTCCTGGGACGAGTAGTAGGCCTCCAGGGAGGCCGGGATACAGCGCTTGTGCTGGGGACAACAGAGAGAGAGAGAGAGTCAGGGGCAGCTCATAGATGGCTTCCAACCCACACCGCAACATGGCCACCCCATCTGGGGACCACGGCCAGAGAGCGGGTGACAGACAGCACCCAGCCTGGGCCTCCCCAGCATCATCACCATCACCACCATCAACTCTGATGAGAGGAGAATGGATCCATGCCTTCTCTTCATTGGCATCCACATTCTGCGCATGGCAGCCTCCCTGCAGACTGTCTGAAGTGTAACGTGTGTCTGGCCAGGAGTTTTCGACTTTGCGTGAAAGACTGGGTCTCTGGTAGGAAGGAGAGCTCCTCCCCACAGGCGGGCACCACAGAGGGGGCCTGACGTCAGAGGGACCGCATGTTAGTGGTGAGGACAGTCAGTCACCTGCCAAAGGGCTCTTACCTTATAGACGAAGCCCTCTGGGCAGCTGTGATCATAGGTGAAGGCTTTGTAAACCACCAGGAACACAATGCAGGCGAGGAACGCGAGGGCCAGGCTGACGAGGATGGTGACCTGGAGGGAGACACACTGACAGTCACCCAGCCTCTGCTTCCGGCCTCAGTCCCCACACGTAGCCAGGCAGGGGTTCGGGGGCCCCAAGACCAGGCTCTGTCTCAGCTCCCTCACTGCCTTCCTGCCTGACCTTGAGCAAACCATCTGCTCTCTTTGGGCCTCAGTTTCCCTCTTCTGCCACATACTTTCTGAAGCTCCTTCTTGGTCCAATGTGGGACCCCCCCACCCCATTTACATTTCCTGTTAACTGCCTGGGGACAGGAGACATGAGCATTCCATCGCCACCACCCCGATGCCAGTACCGAGTTTCAATCTCAGACATGTCCTGCTTATTTCACTTCCACGTGGACCAAAGACACCTTCCCAACCCCAGCCCCTGCTGCCCACCTCCCATCTTTGCAGTCATTGAGGCCAAAATCACGAAGTCATCCCGGACTTCATTTTTCTCATGTTCTGCGTTCAGTCTACCAGCAGATACGTCTGTAATCTGACCACTTCTTGTCCCCTGGGTCTGCTGCGCCCTGGCCCAAGCTGTCACCACTTCTCACCTGCAGCAGCCACACAGCTTCCCAACCAGCGCCCCCCACCCCCCAACCACACGGTGGGTTCTCACATTCATAGCCAGAGAGACCCTTTCAAAGTCCAAGCCACACACTCTGCCCCAGCGACGCCCCGCTTCCCCAGCCGCCTCCAGAGCACCCAGCACTGAACGGAGTGGGACCTCGGAGCCAGGCTGTCTAGACGGAAAGCCCGGCTCTGCCACTCTCTGTGTGACCCTGGACAAGTTGCTTGCCCTTGAGAGCCCTCTGTCACCGTCACCCTCGGTGAGGGAGACACCGCTGGCCTCCTCACACCGGCCGTGAGAAGGGAGAATGTGGTGGTGCTGGGATCCCTCGGGACCGGCCTGGCCCCGGGTCATGACCTCGGTCAGCATCCCTGCAGCACGAGCCTGTGTCACATCACGGTGAGTCCCCGCAGCCCTGTGGGGAAGGTGCCATCCATATGCCCATTTTGCAGATGATCCTTCAGAGGCTGAGGAAATGAGTGGCTTTTCATATGCGAGGGCACAGTGAGGACTTGAACTTGGGTCTGAAGTCCACCTGCCTAACCATACCCGATTCTGTCCGTCCATCTATACCTGCACAGGTGTTTCTTTTTATTAAAAAACCCATTGCCCCGCGATTATAAAGGCAAAATTGGAAGTCCAAGAGGAAAAACACTCGTTACAATCCTGTTTTTACGTGTCCTTTATTCATGCTGGCCACTCGCAGCCCTGCCGAAACCTCCCCTCCTTCTGCTGGTTTTCAGCCTGCTGGTTTTCAGCCTCGGTCACACAGACCGAGTGGGGCCACCCAAGGGCTGGGGGAAGCCTCAGCTTCACCGTCTGCAAATGACTCTTCACCCATACGCAAGTCTGCACAACACCCCCAGGAGGTACCACCATGACAATGTCATGTAAACACCAAAGTGACAAACCCACGCTTCTTGTGGCCCTTGCCACCCTTGTGCGTCCTGAGAGCTGAATCTGGTTCAGACATTTCCTCAGCGCGAGGACCATCGGGTGTTACACTCTGCCGCCATCAGCCGGGGCCTGTCGTCTCCCAGCTACCAACAGCCCCCAGATGCAAGGCGCGCCGTGGCCTTGGGCTTCTGAAGGTCCGAGTTCCTGCTCCCTGGAGGGCTTGCTGGTAGTTTGCGCAGCTGGAGCGGAAGAACACTGCCGGCATGGGCCATCAGTTCCCTGGCCTCTCCTGCGTCCCCCTCCTATGCATCATCCCTGCTGGCCACCGGAGGAACTTCCTCGATGACTCCTCTGAGCAGTGCATGACAGGTTAAAACCCCACATTGCCCCACCGTGGGCTGACTCTGTGCCCTTACGCAGTGGGCCTACGACCTCACTGAGCCTCAGAACCGTCTGAGATAGGTCAGACATAGGATCCTAGGCCCCGCACACGGAGACTCTGGCGCCCGCTCTGCTATTCCGGTGACGAACCCAGGGCCACAGAGGCTGTTGGCAAACGGTAAGGTGGCCCATCGGTAGAGCAGCAAGGCTGAGAAGGCAGGTCTAAATGGGTCTAAACCACATTTTCTTTCCTTGGCACGCCACTACCTTCATCCTGTGGCCTCTGTCTACCTGTGCCACGTCACCGATTGCTGCCACCCCAGGAACGCACACACACACACACACTCACACACAGACACAAAGACTCACACACACAGAAAGATGCACAGGTACAAACACAGAGCTATGCACACAGATGGACACACAGACAGATGAACACACCCTCCATGGTCCAAGTTTCTGAGAATCCTAGGCTCTCCGTACATCTTCCACCACCTCTTCCTGGGAGGGCATCTCGCACACACACACACCAGGGCACCTCCCCACAGCATCCTTCACAACAGGCCTCTCTGGGGCCCCAAGGGTGGTCCTTCCATGGCTCCCAATCACCTGTGCCCTCGTGACCCCTCACTCCTCCAGTCTCCCTGGTGACTGCGAGCTTCTCGAGGGCAGGGAGGGTGCCCAGGGGCCCCCTGCCCAGCTCATGGCCTTGCCACGCCACAGAGTGCATCTCAGCCATCTCTTCTCTGAAGGACTCATACCCACGGCTGCAACCGAGTCCAGGGCCAGGCCCCAGAGCAGAGCCCAGTCTCCTCCCTGCCCAGAGGGCCGTCCATTCACATCCCGGCCCCTGTCAGGGCCACACGCTGTCTCGCTGCATCCCAGCCCACGGGCTCCTGGATGCAGCCGCATCCCCGTCTCCATGGAGACGCCAGCCCTGCAGCCCACAGAGCACATTCCATTAAGCTACTTTCATTCCTCAATCCCCTTTCTTGGCAGAAGAGTTGATAAAAAAAAGAGAAATGGGGTCAGCAGAATTGCTTTGGATAATTAGAAATCATCTTCCCCCCCTTCCAGAGTGTGGCACCGCGGTGAGGGCCAGCGGGGCTTTCTGGGCTGAAGAAGCTGCTCCACACCCTCCCCTAACTCCTGCCCTGGGGAGAAATCACACCCGCCCACTCCGCGAGCACATGTGACTGAGTCCTCTGTCCTCTGCACCGCAGCCCCCTGCCTTTGCCCAGTGGGCAGAAGGGTCTCTACCCAGTGTTCTTCCCCTCCCCCTCCTGCCCTATCACAGACCCACCCACACCAGCACACACACACACTCCCCTCTGCCCCAGGGAGGGTCTTGAAGGAGTTTTCCCAGACCACAGTTCACGGAGGGGCCCGAGGTGGCCACCCTTGGGGAAGTGGCCGCTGCTGGCATCTGGGAGCTGGGCTGCCGGAGACTCCCACCATCCCCAGGACGAGTCCGCCTGGCTTGCTCTGCCCACACGGCACCAGCAGTGGGGTACACGCTGAGCAGCTGCCCTCCTTCTGGGAGCCAGGCACTTGGGTACAGCCCGGCACCAGGTGGAGGCACCTCTGTGAACACCCCTCAGCAAAGGCCCTGGGCCCCGAGTCTCCCCTGAGTGCCCTCAGCTCCTCACTCTGTAACAGGGGAGCAGTGGGGAGAGGCGATAGCAGGTCAAACAGGTCACCTGCCTGGCCTGGGTCTGAAGCAGGGCATGCTGGGAAGTGAGCGGATTGGAGCGATTTCCCCCGTGACATCATGTCTTGGGTAGGACTGCCAACCCTCAAACGGCAGGACAGGCCTGGAGAGCGAGCCTCCGTTTGGTCTCCTCCCTGCTCTGAGGTGAGTTCCTTAGCGGGGCTCAGACCCTGGAGGGGGAGCTGTCTGGGCTTAGGGGCCCTGCTCCCACATCCAAGAGGATTTCATTGCAAAAGCTGACGGTGGACACTAAGAATTATTAAACATGTGTGGTTGTTTTAACTTTCTTTCTTACTCATAATTGTTAAACCAGCCCTATAAAGGTAGGTCTTGCTATCTTTCTCATCTTACAGATGAAGAACGTAACACCCAAAGAAGCCATTTGCCCAAAGAAACTCAAAGACCGGAGCTTGGAGAAGCAGGGTTTGGACTCGGGCGTGATCCCAAAGGTTGTGTATGCCCCTCGCTCCACATCCCTGGAGCAGCGCCTCCTCCAGGACGCTATTAGGATAGCACAGACTGTCCCATCCCCAAACTGAAAGTTTCCATTATCACGTTGCTGGGCCAGCTCCCCGTGGAAGCCCCCGGCCAAAACCCATTAAAGGAGCCCATTCTCTGGGGCCCCAGTCAATCCAGCTAAGTAAATTGCCTTTTGAAAGGAAAAGGAAACATCTGTGGTCTCAGACTTTCTATGAGCAATTCCAGAGTCTCCCAGGAGAAACTCCCCCCAGGAAGGAGGAGCGGGCGCCCGAGCCCATCCAGAGCCAGGCACGCATCAAACCCTCATGGGGCCATTGAAAGAGGAAAAAACACAATTTACATGGGAACAGTTCAGAGCATAACTCATTTCCCAGTTTAATCTGCTATTGGCACAGTTGTTAAAAGGAAGAAATGAGGGTCCGGGGGCCCCGCTTATGAAAGAGATAAATCTCTGGCCTCCTGCAGTATTTTCCAATTTGAAAGTTCACGCTGTCCGTCAACGTGAACCAGAGGATATTAAGACCTTGGACAGTGAGCATCTTACACGATGGAGATGCTGAAGCCGTACTTCACAAGGTCTTCAGAAGCCGATAAAGAAAAGACAAATGCGAAATGGAGATTGGAACCCGTGCACGCACATCTAAACAGCCTTTAAGAGGGAAGGGGCCAACCTTTTCTTGCCACCTACTATGTGCAAGCACAGAGCAGGCAGGTGACAGAAACCGGTGAGGAAGTCCAGGGGTGAGGGAATGGCACGTGTTGGGCACCTCGAGGACTGGGGTGGACGTGCCCCTCCCACCCCGGGCAACTGCGGCCCAGGACCGGAACATGGTCTACCTCATGGCTGATCTGCTTTTTCAGGAAAATCCCCATAAAGACTTAAACTGTAAGTGCAACTTCCCGATTTTAAACTGGGGGCAGCAGACACAAATCTGTGCTTTCAATGAAACCTTACAACAATGCTGT